AGCACTGGAGGGGGTGCAGAGGAGATTCACTCGGTTGATTCCAGAGTTGAGAGGGTTGGATTATGAGGAGAGACTGAGTAGACTGGGATTATACTCATTGGAATTCAGAAGAATGAGGGGAGATCTTATAGAAACATATAAGATTATGAAGGGAATAGATAAGGTGGAGGCAGGGAGGTTGTTTCCGCTAGCAGGTGAAACTAGGACTAGAGGGCATAGCCTCAAAATAAAGGAAAGCAGATGTAGGACTGAGGTCAGGAGGAACTTCACCCAAAGGGTTGTGAATCTGTGGAATTCCCTGCCCAGTGAAGCGGTTGAAGCTACCTCGTTTTTAAGGCAAGGCTAGATAAATTTTTGAACAGTAAAGGAATTAAGGGTTATGGTGAGTGGGCGGGTTAGTGGAGCTGAGTCTGAAAAAGATCAGCCATGATCTTATTAAATGGCGGTGCAGGCTTGAGGGGCCAGATGGCCTACTCCTGCTCCTAGTTCTTATGTTCTTATGACCTGCTGAGCTTTCCCAGCAACTTCTGTTTTTGTTCCTGATTTACAGCATCCGCAGTTCTTTCGGTTTTTCTTAAATATGTGTCTCCATGGTTACTGACCCTCCTGCCACCAGAAATAGTTCCCCTTTACCTGTTTTCTCAGAATGTCTCACAGCATGTGTAGTTGTACGTTCTTCTGTTAAAAGTTCTGATGTTTCATACACTTTTAAAAGATTTCTTTCATACTTAGAATTCAGATTTTGGCAGCTGATGTTAAATACTAAAATAATCACAACTCTTTTCAAGTAAATATCTACCTTTCAACACCACTTCCTTATAAAATGCACATGGGGGCATTCTGGGCAAAAGCCTGCTTCACAGTCACAGACTTTAGTTAAATACAATACCTCAAGAAACTATACACATTAGTGGTGGAATTGAAACAGACAGAAATGTTTCTCTTGTTAGCTCAGCTTGTGGCCACACTGAGAGAATTTATTTTCTTAGCAAACAAATGACCAATTTCTTTGTCTGTGAAAAAAAGTCTTTAGGCTGTTTCATGATTATGGGTGACTGATGAAATGTCTTGGAATAGTATCCAACAGTGATTTCT